ACACGGTGAAGTGTTGTCAGACATGTTTTAGCCCGGGAGAGGTATTTTTCCCGAACCTCACTTTGATTATCCGTTTCGCTTTTGGAATAATTAGCCCGCTGGCGCGTCTAGCCGTTGAAAATTTTAAAACTATAAAACTAATGCCTAAACTGTAAGAAAGAAGGAAATGCATATAATGATTTTAGTACATAAAGCTAGTGTCATTTCATAGGTCTATTGGTCATTAATAAAAGGAAGAAGTCCGTTTATTGCATTTGTTTAATTTGTTGCTTCGTAATGGCAACAAACTAGTGCGTGGAAATTAATACTATTTTTATATCCTATATCTTTAGAATTCTTTATAAATGTTGTAACCTTTTCTTGTATTGTTTCTTTTAAAGTAAGTCATACTAATAACATTAGGCAATCTTTTTATCAAATCATATATTTTATTTCCGTTGCTGCACTTTTTTAATATATTAATTAATTTCAGCATATTTTTAATATAATATTAATGCATTCGCTACGTAATATATGGCGTTAATAATTTGGTGGGAACATTTGAAAAGTGATGCGGGAATGTAGTGAGATTTGAGACATTGTGACGCTGATAAACACGTATATTCTGAAAACTTAAAATTATTCTATCGTCATAGGGGATTATTTTTGCCGTTAAATAAATGAAAATAATACCTGCAACTAATAACTAAATTATTAGATGAACATAATGCAAATTCAAAATTAACAACGAATTTTTAATGTCTCAGCATTTGTTTCTGCAATCTTTTTAGAGAAAGAACATTCGGTAGTATAGGCAAGAAAAGACAATACTTTTTGCAAAAGAAATTAACTTCTGAATCCAACTAAAAAAGAAATATAGCTTTGTCTCTTTCTCTCTATATATAATATATATAGAGAGTGAATTACATTTAGTATGTCGATAAAAATTTTTGTTGTTATCATTACATTATAATTTTTGATGCAGATAATTGTGTACGCAAGAATTGAAGCTAGAAATTTTATGAACGATATATTATATAGTTTTAGAAATTTATTTTATTAATTCCATAAATGGCTAAATCACAGCGGTATCAAAGTTGATTGATTCAGGCATGACAACTGTGTCACCTGCATATTTGGCTGTTTTGCAATTTAGAGGCTTCGGCATATCTGACATATATACTGAATATTGTTGGAGCTAAGACCGAGCTTTGTGGTACTGTAGCTCGTATGTACTTCTTTTTAGAGAATGTATCACCGACTCTTACTTGGAAGGTGCAACATTTTAGATATGAACATATGGGATGTATCATTTTGCTTAGTAAGCTCGATCATAGTAAATTTGTATATCAGATCTTCATGCCAGGTTTTAATGCCTTTTCCTTGTCTAAGAAACGGGCTGAGACGCTGCATTTGTATTCACTTCGTCCTTATAGTGCGAAAGTCATTGTGTTAATTCTGAGCAGTGATTGAGCTACAGATGGGTAATATGCGGCAGAATGACGTAGCTTTGATGTGGGGATGCGTTTAACTAAAATTTAAATTAAATACGACTATATTTTACATCAGAATTGTATTACAACTAGCTCAATAACCCGAATCTTGCACAAAAATTTCCCGGGTTTTCAGATTTCAAGGTTGTCAACTAGCTATGCCTTGGAAATGATAATCTTTTGTTAAATTTATAATCGTTGTGTCTTCTTGTGACGCTGCGGGCAACAACACCTTATCAAAAGTTTCCAAGATCCTACGTTCAAAGTCAAGGAGAGGTCAGTTTCAACTCATAACAGGCCGTTATCGCTGATAAATAAAACAAGTGTCACGTGGTTTCATTGCTGAAAACGTAATTGTTAAAATTTTCCCCTTTCTATTTGCATCTAATTTGCATAGGGTGGCTAACACGATGAAAGCGAGTCGCTGATGATCCTGACTGCAAGGTATAGAATGTGTGTGTGCTGTATTTTTAATTCCATTGCGTGAGTGTTTGTTTGAATCTGTGTGCGAATTTTTGAATTTTTGAGCCGGCTTGTATTTTTTATTTCGAGTTCATTCTTTCCCCCTTTTTTTTTTTTTTTTTTTTTTTTGCATGTATGCCCGTTGCCAGGTTTTGATTTTGATCATCCCGGTATTCGTATTTAACGATAGTCATAAATGTGGAATTTAACCTTTCAGAAAACAATACTGCTTGAATCTCGCGCGATTTTATTCTGCGAGGAAGAGGGGGGGAGGATAGTCACGCTCGATTGGAGAAATTTTCAATTTGATTGTACGGTATTTCTATTAAAAACAAGTTCCATCAGTGAAATAGCAACAGCGCTACTTGCTAACTTTACATTAAACACGAACTGATGCCAATTAGATCAACGGAAACGGAACCAGCGGGGTCGTGTGTTTATTCATGTTCAATAGAGTTCAAATTTAATATTTATTTATTTGATTAATTAGGGTTTTTCGATTTACAGTTAACCAAACTGTCTTTAATATAAGCCAATTAGCTGAAGTGCGTGACGTTGCCTGAGATTTGCGCAGAGTGGGGTAATTTTTACAAAACCGCGTTTTCAACAGGTTCTCGGAAATGATAGAGAGTGCACTTAAATTCTGCTCTGAAGGTTCTACACTGTTCTGGAAAGTTCTGCATTGTATGAAAGAAGTAATGAACACGGTAACACGGTGCCATCTAACAGTTTTAGCAAGAACTATATGCTTGCTTTATTCGGAAAAGAGCTTTCAGAAAATCATGCTCCACTCTAGCCAATTTTTTAACCATTTTTGACGTATTCAAGAAAAACTGATAGAGAGGAAATTTAATTGAGCTGTAAATGTTCCGCGCTGTAATATTCTGCGCTGTGCTGAAAAGGTCTGTAATGTTTGTTCTAAGTAAACGAACACGGCGCCATTTAACAGTTTTTTGTAAGAACTGATAGCGAAAACGCAACAACGGCGACGTGACTTCAAATTTGAAAACGCGTAGAGATATTAATATTTATTTTTCTTAACGATTATAAGTGTCTTGCTTAGCATGTATGACTTCCACTGGTAGCGAAAACGCAATAACGGCGACTTGGACCTAAGATGGGTTACGTATACGCAAGGTGGGTGTCATAAGTGCACCATTCTAATATAAATGCCCTGAGTATGGACCCGTGGAGTGATTGTTTTCGAAATCGTATGTATACAGTGACCTTCGTGTGTTTTGAAGGTCAAGTGTGCAAAATTTCGGAATAAAACTGTAGATTTTTATGAATGACGTGCACGCATACGCAAACGGAATCTTCTTCATATATACAAATTTATTCGGATTCTATTGACACTTAACCAAACAGTCTTTTTTTAATCTTGTAACTATTTTACGAGATTAAAATAAATTAATTGTTTTAAGTCTTTTAATCTTGTAACTAACTTGAATTGTAAAGGATTATGATATTAGTTTGTTTAACTTACGAGCGAATTTCAAAGCTGTGGAATTTTGTTTTCACTATTTACTGTCAAACGCGTTCTGAAAGAAAAATTTAAACAGTGCTAGTAGGATTTGACATTGCATGTATATTACGATTATGTTCCATGTTTATTTATTTGTGATTCATTTATCGCTGTTTATTCAAGATTTCATTAAAATTATATTTATTTTCTGCTAACCCGCGTTTTATTTTCGAAACTCGGAAATTGATGTTTATACTATTTTTATTGCAGTCTTATACTGTTTCAATCCAGTCAGTTATACTATTTTTAATCTAGCCTTTGGATTTGAATCCAGATAATTAAAAAGTGTAGAACTACGCACAACAATCATTGGATAAAATTAAACTTAAGTGAACAGTGAGATAAAGCTAAATCGCAAATGATATAGGAATGTATCTTCCTTTAATTGCAGAAAATTTAATAAGTAGTTAAGAATGTTCAGCATATTTTAGTTACGCGTTTTGCAGTGAAATAACACAAATCTTGACATTCGAAGAATCAAATTTGAACGTTTTAAATATCAGCCATAGTTTTAACGCGGTATAGAATATACAGAGTCAGCAAAAATGATGCAGCCGAGTATACTAGAAAGAAGACTACAAATTGCTTATTCCTTTGTTGCTTTTAAAAGAAATATACCTTCTTGCGTTTTGTTAGAAAACTGAAAACAGTGTTAGTTAAATCAATACTGTGTGTGTATTGGATAATTTTACATCAGAATAATGCTTTGCTGAGATAAAATATAGCAAAAATGAATTTAGCTTCAGTTTGTGTTGGCTTTTATTGTCTGCGGAAGCTGCTTTATTGTCTTATCATTATATAGTATTGCGAAAAAAATATTCTAATTATTTTATAAAGCTAATCAGCGAAACAACTTTCTTGATCAGCTGTATTTGAATTCTAAACAGAATTCAGATAATATTTTAATAGCTAATATAAGAAGACGTAACTCAAAATTATTGATAGCGTATATTTTCTCATTTTACATGTGGACACATGATTGGAAGGTAGTTAATACAGCAAAAATGGAGATAAGTATTTATAAATACTTCCTTACAATAATAGGTAGGATCAACGTATCTTTTCTTTGACTGAGCGAAGCTGTCATATATATTTTCTGTGGTAAATTGGTGCATTGGTTATTGAACTACTTAAAATACATTTTCAACATGTTAGTAATATTCGATAATTTAATATCGCAATTATATTCTACATTAAATATGCTCTTATGCATGCATTATAAAGATTAAATTAATCGATATTAATATAACAGTGTTCCAATGATGGCAAAAATGTGTTAACTATCTTTTATTATCTTTGTTGTAAAATATATTGCATTCGAATGCAAAAGATTCAGTTGGATATTTTTGCGTTTAAAGAATTTGAGAATTCAGTAAATCCTTTTAAATCGTGGTCGATTGGCGAAAAACGTGCCGTTACTTTTAGCGCCATCTACCGGTATATTCCATTAAGAAATGAAATGATTGTTATTGCATTATTAAGAATGTGATGAGGAATTTTAATGCTTTCAGTTCTTAATAGTGAAACATTTTACCTTCCAGAATGCCCAGTGTTGACTGAGATAACGTTTCGAAAAGGTGCAGCGACTCCGAATTATGCAGTCATCTGTGATGTCCAAGTCTTGATTATTGATGAAAATGAACTTGATGATGGAAGGTTCGGTATTAAAAATTGTTTCTAAATGCCTTCCTCTTGTACTCAGTAAAAAGCGGCATATGATCTCATAACTGTTTTTGTCATTATTATACAAGGGCATTTATTTAATTTTTTGTGCCATGATATGAGCTTATAAAAATTTTCAGGAAATAAATTACTTTAATAAAATCACGAAAAATTCTCTATGCTTTGTTATCAAATGTGTGAATTAATTAATTTTTACTATTATATTATTCATAATCATTATAATTTTTTTAAAGATCTAATTACTGTAAAATCTAAAAAAAATTGTGTATTATTCTTTGGCCTGTAGGTGACATACCGACTCAATTTTTAAGTCATCAAAGAATCTACAGGTTAAAATGTAAGCAAAAGACTGTTGCCGTTTTTCAACAACGAATTTTTTATTTATAAAAAACTATCATTTGGGCAAAAGTAGGCGTGGGTTAAAAACGAAATAGACTGGCATAAATATCAGTGTAATTTAATAATAACAGCCATTGGATATGGAATTTTTTTCACATGCATTAGAATTCATTTTGAAAATGACGTTATCAGTTATAAAAAGGAATCAGAAATCAGTTAAAAAAGTTAAGATCAGAAGCGCGAGAGCTCCAGCCGAAGATCTGTAATATCTTCCATTTATGTTCGATGCAGTGGAGGTATGATACTCGTCAGAATGGGTTCGGTTGTAAGCGAGCAGGCTGGCGGCATCGGCATTTTCATAATTTTCTGCATATGTAACGCTTTTCCTTATAAAGTCCTGCACGAAGGCAGCCCTCTTCTTAGACAGATAGCCCTCACGTGCTTTGCCATAAACAATCCAAGTCTCTTAGGCCTTAAAATTACTTTATTTATTCCTTTTAGTAGCATTTTCCAAAATGTGTTATCTAATAGCATGCCTGCATAATATCTAATTCTGTGCACTATCATCTGCATCCAAAATAAAACCGAATGATAAGAATGAAATTTTGTTGTAAGATGGAAATGTATGGAAATCTAGTTTTAATTTTGTGGAGCGGTAAAGATTATTTTTTAAACTGACAGTAGTTCATATATCGGTTCTAAAATTCTTAATAATATTTATGTGAGGAAAAGTGAGGCATATGGATTTTAATTTTTATATTTTTTGATTTAAAAAAAATTCGTGGTAAAATTTTTCTTTCGAACTGTAGTCTGAAATTTTTGAATTGCAGAACGCAAAACATTATTTGAATTTGATTCGAAGAACTGAAAAGCATTTAGATAGAGAACGAAAAAGGTGGGAGGGGTACCACTTATGAATGAAAATGAAGTATCCCTCCCATTTCGTAATTAGGTAGTTAGAACTATTTGTGTACATGAAAATTGCTCTTATTTTTTCTTTCTTCTTCTTTTAAAGGCAAAATGAAATGGAGAACTTTCATTGGCTCAGCGGTATTTTTAAACTCAGACAGATAAATAAAAAGAATTTCTGGAATGGCATAATGAAAAGGGGATAAAAGTTGACAAGTCGAGAAAAACCTAGGCGCGTGGAACTGTTTCTCGTTCGTCCCCCCTCAACACATTTCTTAGAAAATGTTCCTTTTTACTCCCTTTTGTTTCGGAGGTTGCAGTGAAAGTTGTTTATTTTTGCTTGTTCGCAGACATCTTCGTTTGCTGAAGCCTCTTTTAATTACTGCGGCCATGAACCGCGTTTTTGGAAGATCACAAGAGATGATCGTTACTGGAAGAAGGGTTTTAATTAGTGTCGAAAAGGATTTATTGATTCTCTTTTTCTCGCTTCCATCTATTGAGACATTGAGACTTTTTTTTTTTAGAATTCAAGGGTTTGCGGTTAGCTAGCTGAATTAAGATGAAATTTATGTAAAATAGGGTGAAATTTAAAATTAAGCAACAGTTACCAGAATTCGAAAAAATGCCACAATCTGTCGTCTGCCTTATATTGCTATCATCCCCTAACCAGTATTCTTTTTATGTGAATATTTTTATATTTTGTTATTAAAAATTAAATGAAATGAAGAAGGTAGGAAGTTTCCGGAGGGTGTCACAAACAGGTGTCTGCTTCTTCAGGATGCTTTCGTAATGGAGCCCCGATGACGGACTTGGCGACTGTTCGGAAAGACAGAAAACTTCGTAAGAATGCCCCGCCATAAGAAATGTCTGCACACTTTCTTTTCTAACTTCAAAGTTGTCCTTCGTAAAGGTGTGGGCACTTTTATTTGCCAGTAGAAATACCGACATTTTGCTAAAAATATTAACACTTCTGATGAAGCTTAGAAATGAGGTCTGCCCAGATGGTGACTTAAACCGTTACGCATGTTCACTCTAAACTACGTTTTTACAAGGTTTATGTTCTAAATTAGCGGTTCTCAACATGTGGTACGCGTACCCCGTAAAGTACTTGGATGTCATAGTCTGCGTGAAAAAATTCGCTATCAGTAATGGCGAAAAATAAATGTGGTATTATTAAATACATTCATAAAATTTTAATTTGCCATTGATTAGAAACAAAATCAATTTGACTGTTTTCGATGTGTTGATTGTTTTCGATGTGAATGTTAACTGTCCAAAACATTTTTAAAAGCAAATGTAATAAGTTGTAGCTAGTTTCGCCCACATTTGTCATGCATCTTGCAATTTCCTTCCGTCTTATGTAACACCGTATCGTATACGGTGACTGTATTTTCAGCAAATTGTCATTATGCAAACCAGTGTAAATGAAGAGCTGTGTTTTAAATTCGTTTTCTTTAAAAGTTGCGAATTGTATTGCTTATATAACAATGGATAAGTAGTTTAAGAAATAGATTTTTGCACAGGATAGAAACTACTTGACGTAAATATTTTCGATTTGGCGTTAGCGACAAGTTTCGGGAGACCACATGTTATAAACGAGCTTGAAAACTCACAATGATGAAAGGTATCAAGGACTTGCATAATTTGCCGATATGTTTTCAAAATTAAATGAATTAAGCTTAGGGTTACCAAACAGCTCCATTACTCCTTCGAACGCTTCTGACAAAACTGCTCACAGTATGCTCAAAAGTTGGATTTCTGGAAATCATGCATTGAAAAAAAAAAAAAAAAAAAAAAAGAGACAAAAATATTCGGGACAATTTACGAATTCTTGTCAGAAAAACTACCCCATTATACTATCAGGTTCAATATTCCTTCTAACCTTCTTCGGGAACATACAAGGACCTGACTCGGAACAGAGAGCTTACTAAAGCTATGTTCACTAATTGTGGTAAGTAGACAGGATACAGACGAAGGGTATACAAAACCCTTTATTTTTCTCTATATACAATAACTTCCGTACTTCGGAATACACTGACCCTCCACTCGGGGTCTAACGTAAAAAAGTATAAAAATAAAACTAAACTCTAATTTAACTTTAGAATAATACACGTAGAAGATTGGCCTTATAATAACAGGAAGCGTATGTAGCACAGAGACTGTGAACACTACAATACGTTCAATTTATCAAGAGGATTAAAACCTCTGGCCTGGAAGGCAAATAGCAACTGCGTAACTTCTAAGGTAAGCGGCCTGCTTCGAACTCGCTGCTTCCTCTCCTTCGCTTGGCAAAAAGGCCACACTTAAATACTTGGCGTTCGCCAGACAAACTTTGCATAAAAACCACGCTTATAATTCTGGCCGGAAGTAGAAAATAAGAAGTGATAGTAAAGATTTAAAATAAAATAAACGTTAGTAAAACTTAAGATCCTTACAATACAAGCGTGGTTAAAGAGAGCATAAGAACTCACTCAAGGGCACAAAGGGTCGTTCAGACATTACTTGCCCAAACGAAGGGAGAAAGACAATTGGATTTCAAATCCTATTAATGAAAATTCCTTTGAAACAGCCAACATTCTCTGAAAAAGAACAACTTCTGACCTTAAGCATTGCAATTTATTAATTTTGTGGAATTAAAATATGTAATACTGCTGGCAAGGTACTATATTGCGAAAATGTGGAAGGAGTGTCGGGGTGGCTCTATGTTCTTGAGGAAGAGGTTAGGAGTACTTTATAATTACGTCTTAGAGGCACGCAACATAATTAAATATCATTAAGGGGTGCGCGAAAGGAAAAAAAAAGCCGGGAACCGCTATTTTAAATAAATTCTGTTTGACAAAGTTTTTGATATATAAGACTGAGTTGTTGACATGAGCCGATTAAAACGTATATATTTTAACTGACTATCAGATCGCTAAGATTATGCGTATTATAATTATGTATTACAGATAGATATTCATTTGTATCTTTACCACTCACTGCTGATCGATTCAGTCAATATCCATTCATAATGAACCTCCATTAATTGTAGTTAGGTAAATTTTAGTTTGAAACAGTCTTTTGAATGTATTGTAGTTAAGTAAATTTTAGTTTGAAACAGTCTTGGATGTATTATACAGTAATTCTGTTCCGTTCATTCAGTGATAAATTCTCTTTTATGTGTACTAATTATATTCATCTTTGATTTTTTTTTTTTTTTGCAGAAGTTGTTGGACGGCTGCTGACCAAATCCGGGACAGTGGCGTCCATCTCCAGCTTCCCCGGGCGGCCCCCCTGGTCAACGGAGGGCTTGCACCGCCCGTTGCCTTCTCCACCTCAGTTAGCGGACAGCAAAAGTGCCGTCAATTTCGCCATAAAAATGCTTCCCAACGGTATCCGAGGACTGTCTGGTGGACAGGAGCCCGCCCAAGGCGGTGCCCTTGCAGGACAAACTAGTCCTCCAGCATTAAGCCCGAATCTTCCCACCATAGTGAAGATGGAACCTCGATTACCAAGTCCTTGTCTCACAAATGGCAGTGGCACGAACGGTGATTTGATGCCGTTCAGCCCTAGCAAGAGATCGAGGCAAGAAGATGGCACGTGGTTGCCTTCTCCTTCCCAGATGTCTCTGGACTCTATGTCTCCGCCCCCTGGTGTTAATGGACACTCAGCAATCAATCACAACGGACTCTCGCCTACGTCCAGCTATGATGCTTATTGCTCGAAAGGTAAGTCTTACACTATATGGAAAGTACGTTTTAGATCATTTAAAAGTGTCTTTTACAAAATTCTTGTTGAGATTTACAGCCTTAGATGCTTATTTAATTCACCACGCCATAAATCTCATGTATGTGCCTGCAATATCTAACTGGAGTTTCTTGCATGAAATATATGCTGTGGATTTATTACCCTTATGTATTAGTATATTCTACGCCGCTAAGGTGACAACAAGTTCGTATTGTTAGTACGTGTGTTATCGCTCTAATGTCATTAAAATATTCCCACTATCAAATATAATGGTGTCAATATGTTGTTGATAATTATGATTTTTTGAGCAATTATCAGTAACATTTCCTTTTCGTACGATTCTTTTAAGAAGTAATGTGCTACTTATTAAGTTTCTCTCTCCCCTTCCTCCCATTGGCCGGACACTTTGCTGTTAAGCATTCGTCGGGAATGGTCTAACCCATTGGTCATTTAGCCGTTCTCGTTAAAAGTAACTTTGCCGGAGGTGACCGAATTAACCCGAAAGAAAGGGAGAGTTCCTTTCCAACTATCTTTCTTTCCCTGCTGGAGCCTCTCAAAAGAACTTCTGGCTGGACAGTATTTTAAGTGCCTCCATACTACAAAGATACTTAAACATGAATGCCTTCTGTAGGATTCGAATTCCGGTCCAAGGCTATGGCAGCTGGTTCCTAAATCGAATTCTGGAATTGATTTTATAATCATAGGAAATAGCAACCGTTTGGTCAGCGGTAAAACTTTCAGTATAAAATCTTATTGAAGTAAAAAAATAAATTATATTATATAGGAAATTACATTACTTTGTAAACTTTCAAACCTTATAGCTAAGTTGTTAAGCTATCTAAATTTGATCACTTATCTCTTGATATATTAACCAAAATTATTGATTTTTTTTTTAAAGTAATGATATTTAAAGGCTATAAACTTTACCGATAAATATATGTATGAAAATTGTGCCAGTTGCTTCTTGACTTACGAGAGTTAAGAATTTCACTGTCGAAGAACTGTTCGAGAAAGATCCTTTTCTCTTCTTTTGTTGTTGTTAGTGCTATCCGAGGGTATAGTCATTTTAATGATAGTGTGAAGAACGATGATTGATGTCTGAACGCATGGGTATCTGTTGATACATTCGGACGCTTCGGCGAGTATACGATTTTGTTCAGCTGTTTGCAAAGAGAACAAACATACCATCTGGAGGTCTTTTGCACTTGTCTTCTACCTTTAGTCCAGGGGTTCCCAACTGGTGGTACGCGTACCACTAGTAGCACGCCAGAGAAAAATAGGTGGTACACAAAGAAGCAAAGTTTTTTTAACTATTAAATTCAAAAATCTCGTGAAGAAAAAAAGCAATCCATATAAATTTCCTGTGATAGAACTCTAATTGAAGATTGTACAAATAACACACTTGTTGACTTTTGGCTAAACCCCAAAAAGAATTTAAAAGCGTTTTAAATAAAACTGTTAAATTTTATAGCCTTTTTCCACAACTTATTTGTGTGAAAAAGTATTTTCTTCCACGTTTTATTTGAAAAAGAAATACAGAACAAAATTAAGGTTGGATCTTAATTTACGGTTAAAGTTATGTAAAATAACCAGACATAAAGATATTGATCTCTCTTAAACAGGCCCAATTTCACACTAAATTTTAGAATTAAAGTGAATTAAAGTATTATAACTTAAGTTTTGATAATTGAAATAATAACTAATTTTTAATCTAATATTTTTTATGTGTGCACATTTAATATAGCCAATAAGCTGTGCAAATGGCAATTTTTTTTTTTTTAAATATTTCTTTTTCCACATGGAAGGGGGGGAAAGAAAAGCATTGTAAAATATAGTAGTGGTGATAAAGTTTTCAAGTTTTTGTTTAGATGATACGCGTTAGTCAAAAGGTTGAGAACTGCTGCTTTAGTCTATCTAGAAGAGTTTTGTATTGACATACTTTTTTATACGAACATTTGTCAAGAACAATATGCAATGGACTCTTGTAGTTTAGAATTTGGTATTCAGCGTGGCAGCCGAGACACATATTCCTTCTGGCGAGGGAGCCAAATTGCCCATCGAATTCTTTCCGCCGCTGAGACATTATTTTTGATTTCAGTTGCTGGTTTTACTGGTTAAGAATTATTTTTCACAAAGATTAATTAAATTATATGGCATCTTCTTCTGAGCTTTGCTGTTAAGTGAATGAGTTCAGTTTGTGCTCACGGATAAAAAGTTTCATGGTTTTTCTTTTTATGGGTTGACGTGGTTATAGTATATTTGGTGTTGCTTGGTTATCCTGATTGCTTTGTTGATTTCGTTATCATCCACTTGGAATCCTGCCAGATATCAACGATAAGATAACCAAGAAGGTCACGGGGAAGATGACCTTCATAGAAGTGCCTGAACGTTCTGTAGGCTGTCATGCTTGGGAAGTCATGTTTGGGCTGGAAAAATGACCTTTGCTGGCATTCCCAAATCCGTATAATTTCTGTATGGATTTCATTCGTAAGGGCAAATGTATAGTTCGAAAGCTATGAAAAGAATTTACCTATAAAGAAACGAACTTATTAAATGTGGTAAATTTTAATTATTGCAAAAATTAATTCGTCTCCCGAAAAACGCTGTTGCCTTTATTGTTAACTAACCGCTTGTGCGGCCAGCCGCCTAAAATAATTATTATAAAAAAGAAAAAAAAAAAAAAAAAATGCATATTGATTTAAATTAGTTCAGCTAGTATAATTTCATGGCTCCAGGTAGAAATAAATAATACTTGTAACTGATCTGCGTTTATTTCTTTTAAATCAGTTAGTTTGTAATTAATAATATAATAAATTTGAACAAAACGTTAAATATTATCTTATGCTTTACTGAACAGTAAACCGCCGCGTGGAAGAAACAATATTTTAATTCGGGCAATGGCAACACTTTTTTAATTGAAGAATTTGTTGATTAAATTTGATACACAAATATATCTCGTTTTGCGGAGTGGCAGCGTACTTCTCTTTTTATTGCCGAAATTTCTATTAAATTTGGAAAATAAGTATCTTTCGCTTTGCCGAGTAGCAACGCAAAACTTATTGCTAAGGGACTAAAGTTCTTTAAATCTAAGGTTCTTTAAATTCGTACAAAGTATGATGAAAATAAATAAATAAATAAATTAAAAAAAAAAAAAAAAAAAAAATGTGGAAATTCGAACATGACGCGCCCGTGTTCGGGTGAAGTACGTATATCAAAATTGTGTGGCTCTAGGTGCCACCGATTATCCACAATGCGAGGAATATCGTACATACAGATTCTTCATTATTTAATGCGAGAGACAAGATTACTGTTTGTTGTTCATTGGCTGAATGGATGAAACAAGAAGCTCTGGTAGTTTGTGTCGTGTTTTTCTTAGCGCAAATAGCGCACGAGTTAATGTAAATAGTGGGGAGGTTTCCACGAATTAATGTAAATCCACGGTTTTAGCGATTGATGCATTAGGTGGTACTAAGTCCAGCATCATTCAATGTTATCAATGGTTGATCGTAGTGCAAGATAATATTGTTTTATGGAGAATATGGATGCTGTATTACTTGAAAAATTGTTTATTCGATTTCGATTAGCAGATATAATTTAAGAGATTAGTTATTGAATTTTCAGTTCTTATTTGTCATTTTTAAATATTGTAAACATTAAAATTTTATAAAAATTATTACGGATTATACAGTGTTATTATCAGACTATATAATTCCTCTTTGATCAAATTAAAACTTAGTTACATATGGTGAAAAAGCGGAGGAAGTGGCAAAAATTGTCAGCTAAAAATTTTACGTTTTTAATCATTTCATCAGTACATAATTGGCCATTTAATCTCAGACTAAGTACTTGTCACACTTTATGACCCAAAAGTGTGTGTCGTAAGACTTGGAGTTTTGTTTTTAGCTGTTAATCTAAACCCACGTTGGTAGAATAATCTTCGCAGCGAAAAATTTGCTTTTACAAAACAAATGTTTTTGTATATTATTAATTAGCGAAGGAAAAGACAATGTCGTTTAAAAAAAAAATAAGAGACAAAAAAAAAAAAAAAAAAAAAAAAACAGAAAGAAAAAAAAGGGAACAAAATATGCTTCTTTTCTTCATTAGCGTTAAAAATAATAAGGATTTAATCACAGCACTGAACTTTAAATCTTCTCATTTATGGCGATTAAAATCCAAGGACAGTTAGTTTTTTCTTGTGTTTTGCAATGGGAAAAGAGAAACTAATAACAGAGCGCTCAGTAATGTTCCGTCTCCCCACTAGATGGCGCTAACGTCATTACCGAGTTCTGGATCTAAGCTAAGGTAATGAAGTATGCCAAGAGATTGTTCATTGTGCTTTGCAGGAGAAAGATCTAATTTCCGTTGTTTTATGTCACGTAAATGATTTGTGTTTTGTTTTCACGATATCAGTGCGATACACACTAAAGGGGATAAGATATCCTTAATATACAGAGTAAGAAGTCCGTTATTTTTTTCTTGATGGATTAAGTAGGCTTATGTTTATAGAAGATGGAGATGAATGGAACTGACACAGCATTCGCTAATATGCCCTGACATTTTTGTTTTAGATCGTTTCCCTCTCCCTATTCATAACCATTTCGTAGACAAGAAACCTCGTGTTTAAGATTAATCAGAGTTCTTTATTAAACAGGACAGGTGAATAATTCTGGGAATATAAATCGTAATTCACTTGAGTTTAATCAGTGTAAAATATTTGAGGAATGTTTTATGTAGGAATATATGTATCTTGTGTTAATGGATTTGCTTTATGTTTATGAAACAAAAATCATTAGCCGGCCGTTTGCTTATTTTAATATTTGTAGACAAGTTCACTTGTGCAAATATTTTTACTTGTTCTAATAATCTGTATTATATCAACGTACGAAGAATATCAAAATCTAGACCAATAAAAATTTCATCTCTAGTTTCCTAAATTCGTGTCTTAGAAAGTATTTTTTAATATTTATCATTTTCTTTTAAT